CACACACACAGAGAAGTAATGTTTTCTCTTTAGGGCAATGATACATTTGGGTCGATTTCATTTGAAGTTAGTATAATTCAAAATTACCCTTTCTAGTTTCTTATTTTACTTTCCACATGCACAATGTTTCAAAAGTTTGAGATCGGTAAAGAAGTTGAAAGAAGTCTCTTATGCTCACCAAGGCTGCATTTATTTAATTAAAAATACAGTAAAAACGGTAATATTCTGAAATATTATTACAATTTAAAAAAAAAACTTTTTTCAAAATATGATTTATTCCTGTGATGCAAAGCTGAATTTTCAGCATCATTACTCCAGTCTTCAGTGTCACATGATCCTTCAGAAATCATTCTAATATGCTGATTTGCTGTTCAAGAAACATTTCTAATTATCACTGTTAAAAAACGTTGTGACGCTTAATATGTACATGGACACTTGATAAAATTTTTTAGGATTCTTTGATGAATAGAAATAAAATAAAAAAACAGCATAAACATTTTTTTATTGTGATGCCATGAAGATCTTTAGTGTGTTTCTATTAGGTGTTTTGTGTGGTTATTGAGTGGTTAATCCATCATAAACTATAATTAATCTCATCGCTTAGTAAAAGTCACATCACAAATGGTGCAGGACAAGTTTGTGCCAAAGTTGAGTGTTCAGGATTTGGAGTTTTTTTCAGCTCACTGACACAAAGTATGATTAATAAAGTGAAAAATGCCTTAGTGAAAACCTTTCAGAGATCCTATAGGTCAAGCCTAGTTTAATTTACATATACAAAGATAAAACAAACCAAAATCGTGCTTATAATAACAAATATGCCTTTGCTCTCAGAAGCGCAGTAATTTATGAATATTCGCATGCTAAATGAGTCATTAGATGACTCCTTTTAGGAAATGGGTGTGTGAATGATCAACACTTGCTGTTTAGGGATGGTAATAGTTTTAAATACCCTGTCAAACAATGGTTTTTCATTTGAAACTTACTCAAGAAGTGTTCTACCATTGTAAAGACACTTTTGTCATATTAAAAACACTGCCACTGTGTGTGTGTGCATGTGTGTCGCCCAGCATCTTTGGCATGGTGTGTTCAGGGGTCCTTTGACTGTGTGTGCCGGGAAGATAAGGATTAGCATGAACATTGTTGGATGCAGTAGCTGTGTGTGTGTGGTTGCATGCTGATAACGGTGATGATTGGACTCCATAGGCTGGAGTCTGTGCTCTAATAATGGACAGTCTCTCCTTTGTGTGTTTGAGTTTTGATGATCTGGCCCCCTGCTCATCTGTGCTTTGTCTGTGGCCAATAGAGCGGCCTCACTCACTCACTCGTGTCCAGTTCTTCATAGTGAGCTTCACTAATGTGCCATGTAATTGGATTGGAGGTCATCCGAGATGTCTCCTTAAGCTGCGCTTCATACATCCACACCACCAGAGGGCGCTAATCAATACGAATTGTAGCTATTTTGAATTCACAGAATCCATTGGTAGCCCGGTTATTAAAATGAACTAAATGGAATAGTGAGTCTGAGTAGAATTCTATTTACAGTCTAGAATGCAATAAAATGTGATCAATAACGGCCTGCACATGGCTACCAGATTGCAATTTGAAGAATATGTTCACGAAAACAGGTTACTTGAAAATAAAATGTAAAATGTTAAGTGAAAAAATTATTAAATAAAAAATATTTGAAAATGTACTTTTATTTCATCTAGAGCATTTCTAATTTTTGTTTAACTTGATGTACTACTACTAATACTACTACTAATAATAATATAGTATAAATAATTAAAAACTATAGACTTTTTTTTGCAAAATTTTAAAATGAAAATGGAAAATAAAAATAAAAACGAATTAAAAATATGAATAAAAACTATAATATATCTCAATCACACTTAAATAACACTGGGTGATACCATTCATCCATTAATTTATTTATGTCATTGTGGTTATTTATTTATTTGTTTGTTTTTTTCTTTCATTTATTCTGATTTATTTATTTATTTATACCAGATTTTTAGGTGGACTGAGGTAAAAGGCCCCCTTAAATCATTAAAAAATGTGTTAGCATCACTACATCATGGTATCACTAAAGTTAGTCTCAGCCTTAGACGTCACGCCTACGAACCGTTGGCTGAACATCTGATGCATACGGCACACAAAATTGGAAACACTTCGGGAGTTTTGAAGTCGTCATCGGATTGGTTGAATTATACAGGATTTCCAGGAGACGTGCGTGTCGCGTTCTTTAACGTTCTGCTTGGAAACAAATATGCCGTGACGCCAAACCCCCTCATGTTAGAAGAAAGCTGTCGTGTTTACAACTGTGACAATGAACGCTTATCAGGATCAGCTAAACAATTGCTTTTCAAAAGTATGTGAAATATTTGAAGTTCGCGGCATAGAATCTTTAAAATACGTCCAAGAGTTTTACACACGGTCTGTTATTGTGGGGACATTTCCACGCCCCTAAACATGACGCAGCACAAGCCGAAACGTGATTGGTTGCTTTATCTGTCAGTCATATGGCCTCTTGGGCGGTCCTTGCCATTCAAAGCGGCCAAGGTTTCCAGACCTTCTGCCGTCAGTCTGAAGGTCTGGCTACGCGAGACTACACTAAAGTCGTTTTTGTATATTAATATGATATGTAACACTTAAAATGAGAATGCATTTAACTAAAGCCTTTACGTCCAGTTGAGTTTAATAAAGCACATTTACTTACAAGCTCACAGTATCAGCTACATGTGCTTCTGCGGGAAAAAAAATGTGGCGGCAGTCGATACCCCCCCCCCCCCCCCCCCCCCCCCCCCAATATCATCA